TGGGTACTGATAGACCCAACCCTGGCAATGGAAGAGATCAAATTACGAGAGCAGACATTCCCAGGGTAGCCAATATACCTTTTAGGCAAAAAGGTTCCTTGACAGGAGAAGACTTCAGGGCTTAAAGCCCAGATAAACCATGCACACTAGCTACCACAGGGACCTGGCCCTTAATGATCATGCCCTGGCCAGCCCAGCTGGTTCAACATGTTTTCCTTCTAGATTGAAGGTCCAGGAAGCTTTAGTTACTTTTACAATTTATGAGAGCAGACACTCCCAGGGTAGCAGTAGTGTATTTAGGTTTTGTGCTGCCCCAGGCAACACAAAAATCAGATGCGCCCCCCAGCGGAGAGAGCCTGACATTGACCAACACCACCTTTGTCCCCCCCACCCAAGAGAGCTTTTCACTAACACACATTCCCCCTCCCCCCACCGAGAGAGAGAAAGCCACTCATCTTCAAAGCTTTGGACATCCCTGGGATTGAGATGGGCTCTGCATACATCATCAAGCAGCCCGCAGCCTCTCTCAGTATCCACATGGTCCCCATGCCGCAAGTGTCCCTTCTTCCAGAAGGCGGTGCTGCACCCCTGAAAAATGCCACCCTAGGCAAATGCCTTGTTTGCCTTGTGGTAAATACACCCCTGCAGGGTAGCCCAAAAACTTTTTAGGCAATTGGATTCAGCTGGCTTCTAGACTGAAGGTCCGGAAAGTCTTAGTTACTTGAGCAGTCAAGTTATTGGCAGGTAGGCTTTGGTCCTTTAAGAGTATAAGGTCCAAGAGGCAAAGATGAAACTGGCAGAGGCACTTTGTTCCTTGGGCCTTATCACTAGAGGGCAACCAGGCTACAGTTCCTAAAGACTGGAGGCCAGCTATCACGTACCTGGTGAAGACTGGAATGTTGTGGAGGCCTCTCTTGCACCTCCTGCCCAACACTCCTGAAGGTGGAGACGGAGAGTGTGAGGGCAAAGAGTGGCACAAGTGCCGAAGTAGCTGGCTGGCAGTGTTCACTCTGTAGGTGGGTAGAGCTGGTGGTCACAGGCCTTGGAATGGAAAGCAGGAGCAGCTTGGCACCAGAGCAGAAGCTGGACCAGGAGACAGGCAGTATTCAGCAGTCAGCACCAACCAGGCAGCGAGGAACCAAATCGGCAGGCAGCGGTACAAAGGCAAGTCCAGTAAACAGGCCAAGGTTAGAGTAATCAAGTGAACAGAGTTGGGGCAGGAGCAGAAGTGAAGTCCAAGAGCAAGCTGGGTCATACTCAGGTAAGCAGGTACAGCGGATTCGGTCACAGGAACAAGCTGAAGACCATTAAGCAACTGCTTATAATGACAGACCAGTTTAAATAGGCCATTGGGTGCCAAGTGTGCACGCTAATTGGAATGTGCGCAAGATGAACTGGAATGGCACGTCTATTGCTTCTTCGCTCAGAAGTATGAAGTATCAGTACAGAGGCCTGTACTGGTTTTCTGGTGCTAGGAAATCGGTTTCCCTTACACCAGCCAAGACTTGGTCCCTCAAGACCATAACCCAGCTCCTGAGTGTTGGTACCTGGATGACTGAGACACCAAACTCCCACAAGGTGAAAATGTCTGAAAGCCTCAGCCAGCTAACAGACTTTATGAAAACACAAGGTAGTGGGGCACTGGACTAGGAGGGTATACCACCAGCTGGGCACAGAGGTCATTTCTACATACTGGCAGCTCTCTAATAAGCCAAGAAACTGGAGAAGGCCACTTGCTACCTCTCGTCTTTTGTCCAGGTTCCCTCCAGTTAGAAAGTCAAGTCCTCCTGAAGGGAGCAGTTGTGCACCCCTGAAGCACATTGGTTTCTCCATAAAAACTTTGGGTTACATTATAAAAGATTTCTGGACTTACAAAACTTTGTGGTGCAATCTTCTCTTGAACTCAAAGCCAAGGTACACCTATGAAGGTCCCATTCCTGAAATGTTGGTAATAGTCCCCATATTTTGCTTCTAAGCAGACATCATTGCCGGTGCAGCCTAAACGCCATATCAGCTGAACCACTCTCACCAAGGCCGGCGCATGTACAAGCCAGATGCCCTTTCTTTGTGGCCAGGCCCATCCTCAATCACTGGAAGAATTCACGCCGGAACTGATGATGTGTTGATACTGTCCATCTACAAAAACCAAAGAGGGCCCGGAACGTTTGGGCCTAAGGACGCAGTGCGTTTCTGCTGGGCTGTGATGCATTTCTGCATGCGCATTACCATCATTTTGTGTGGGCTAACACGCTCTGCAGTATGGCAGCCCATTGGTGTTGAATGTTCTGCCGAGGCACCATCAGGTTATATTGCAGCTGTAGCATTTTTATCACTGCATAGAGCAGGGCGTAGATAAAGGGGGGGGATATGGGGGTCCAAATCCTCCCCAGAGTGTCCTGGCTGCTGTAGGGTGCTGGAGTTGCATAGCCTGGGCATTCTCCTTGCCACATTGTCCTGCCAGCATGGAGAAGAATCCATCCATACCCCATACATGAGTTTACATAAGTACGGCGGATACCCGTGCCCAGCGTTCATGTCTATGTGCAGCACCTGGGCTTCCTAGGCACAGACATATACCTGTATATAGGTCCTACATGGCCTTCTATGCCCATGTGCATGAGGCCTTTGGGTACAAGGACTGTGGCCAGTGCCGGGACAAGGTAACCCAGCACCCTGGGCAAAGAGGCCAAACCACGCCCTCCCCGTCCCCTTCCCCCCTTCATGATGTGAAAACTTAGGGGATCCTACGCCCCACAGTCACCCTCTTGTCAAAATCACAACCTTGTAACAGAAGGAAGGCGCCCCCCATCCCTACAGTAAACCATTGCGCCCGGGGCAGCTGCCCCTCCCGCCCACCCCTTGTCCCGGCCCTGACTGTGGCATATGTTACTGTATACGCTCACATTATAAGCCCCTCCCACTGTTAGCACAGTCTTGCCACACCTATAGGTCACCGCAGTGTTCACCGTGAGCCAACCTACTCTTCCCCCTCTGGGTGCCCAAGGTTGACCCCCCCCCAAGGAGCAAAAAAAAAAATCAGGAGGTACATATCTCTGCTTTGTGCCGGCTTGGTGTTGGCGCACCGTTCAACATTTCATGGCGCACCATCGCGTTTCCTGCGTCACTGCAATGCGCGGGTCCAAATCTGGCCAAACTTTGGGTAAGATGATATCACCCCCAAGACACATGGCGGAGTCCGGACAGTTCATTCTGCACATCTGACCTTACTGGTGGGCGGGGCCAGTTTCAGACTGACGCTATGCAGGCGATTAGCTGCCATTCATCTCGTTGGTCGCACATTTGCTTCAGTCTTTGGCAATTGAGGAGCTGCAAACAAGCTATTATTTCTCTTAGTAGCCATGGTGTGGCCCTAGACCAGTGGTCTCCAAACTGCGGCCCGTGGGCTAAAAAAGTGGACCTTTGCTTGCTTTACCCTGCCCTTGGGGCAATTTTCCCCCCACTGACACCAATGATGGGGCACTATTCCTCCCACTGACACCAATGATGGGGCACTATTCCTCCCACTGACACCAATGATGGGGCACTATTCCTCCCACTGACACCAATGATGGGGCACTATTCCTCCCACTGACACCAATGACGGGGCACTATTCCCCCCACTGACACCAATGATAAGGCACTATTCCTCCCACTGACACCAATGACGGGGCACTATTCCCCCCACTGACAGCAATGATGGGGCACCATTCCTCCCACTGACACCAATGACGGGGCACCATTCCTCCCACTGACACCAATGACGGGGCACTATTCCTCCCACTGACACCAATGACGGGGCACTATTCCTCCCACTGACACCAATGACGGGACACTATTCCTCCCTCTGACACCAATGACGGGGCACTATTCCTCCCACTGACACCAATGATGGGGCACTATTCCTCCCACTGACACCAATGATGGGACACTATTCCTCCCACTGACACCAATGATGGGGCACTATTCCTCCCACTGACACCAATGATGGGACACTATTCCTCCCACTGACACCAATGATGGGGCACTATTCCTCCCACTGACACCAATGATGGGGCACTATTCCTCCCACTGACACCAATGATGGGGCACTATTCCTCCCACTGACACCAATGACGGGGCACTATTCCCCCCACTGACACCAATGATAAGGCACTATTCCTCCCACTGACACCAATGACGGGGCACTATTCCCCCCACTGACAGCAATGACGGGGCACCATTCCTCCCACTGACACCAATGACGGGGCACCATTCCTCCCACTGACACCAATGACGGGGCACTATTCCTCCCACTGACACCAATGACGGGGCACTATTCCTCCCACTGACACCAATGACGGGACACTATTCCTCCCTCTGACACCAATGACGGGGCACTATTCCTCCCACTGACACCAATGATGGGGCACTATTCCTCCCACTGACACCAATGATGGGACACTATTCCTCCCACTGACACCAATGATGGGACACTATTCCTCCCACTGACACCAATGATGGGGCACTATTCCTCCCACTGACACCAATGATAGGGCACTATTCCTCCCACTGACACCAATGATGGGGCACTATTCCTCCTTCTACTGACACTATGTTGTTTTTTTTACTCCCACTGACACCAGGTCCCCTACCCCAGACTGTCAGCCCACTCCAGGTTTTCGGGATTTCCCAGTGTGATCTGCCACCACTCATTATTACTGTTCCATCAGACAGCTGTGTGAGGAGATCCTGAAATCCTGTCCTGTTTGGACCTTCCCTTGACCCTCCTGGAGCCGGCTCAGCAGTGTCTGTATACATCATGTATATCCATCTCTATAAATCTCAGGTTAGTCCTCTCCACATTCAGATGACTGAAGCCGTGTCATGCCGGCACCTGATCTGACCACACACCGTCCAATCTGATTGTAAGCAGTTGTCACAGGACACTGAGACCCGGGACTGACACCTTCCCTTCTCACACACAAAGACTGGCTGAGATTTCGGTGTCATTGGGTAGATCAGGGATCACCAAACCTGAACAAAGAGCCAGTTTACTGTCCTGCAGACTTCAGAGGGGCCAGTGGGAGCGGAAAATGTCCCAACATTGGTAGAAGCATTCCTCCAGCTTAGTGTCAGTGGGAGGACTAGGGCCCCATCGGTGGTGTCAGTGGGAGGACTGGGGCCCCGTCGTTGGTGTCAGTGGGAGGACTGGGGCCCCGTCGTTGGTGTCAGTGGGAGGACTGGGGCCCCGTCGTTGGTGTCAGTGGGAGGACTGGGGCCCCGTCGTTGGTGTCAGTGGGAGGACTGGGGCCCCGTCGTTGGTGTCAGTGGGAGGACTGGGGCCCCGTCGTTGGTGTCAGTGGGAGGACTGGGGCCCCGTCGTTGGTGTCAGTGGGAGGACTGGGGCCCCGTCGTTGGTGTCAGTGGGAGGACTGGGGCCCCGTCGTTGGTGTCCGTGGGAGGACTGGGGCCCCGTCGTTGGTGTCCGTGGGAGGACTGGGGCCCCGTCGTTGGTGTCAGTGGGAGGACTGGGGCCCCGTCGTTGGTGTCAGTGGGAGGACTGGGGCCCCGTCGTTGGTGTCAGTGGGAGGACTGATGCCCCGTCGTTGGTGTCAGTGGGAGGACTGGGGCCCCGTCGTTGGTGTCAGTGGGAGGACTGGGGCCCCGTCGTTGGTGTCAGTGGGAGGACTGGGCCCCGTCGTTGGTGTCAGTGGGAGGACTGGGGCCCCGTCGTTGGTGTCAGTGGGAGGACTGGGGCCCCGTCGTTGGTGTCAGTGGGAGGACTGGGGCCCCGTCGTTGGTGTCAGTGGGAGGACTGGGGCCCCGTCGTTGGTGTCAGTGGGAGGACTGGGGCCCCGTCGTTGGTGTCAGTGGGAGGACTGGGGCCCCGTCGTTGGTGTCAGTGGGAGGACTGGGGCCCCGTCGTTGGTGTCAGTGGGAGGACTGGGGCCCCGTCGTTGGTGTCAGTGGGAGGACTGGGGCCCCGTCGTTGGTGTCAGTGGGAGGACTGGGGCCCCGTCGTTGGTGTCCGTGGGAGGACTGGGGCCCCGTCGTTGGTGTCCGTGGGAGGACTGGGGCCCCGTCGTTGGTGTCCGTGAGAGGACTGGGGCCCCGTCGTTGGTGTCAGTGGGAGCACTGGGGCCCCGTCGTTGGTGTCAGTGGGAGCACTGGGGCCCCGTCGTTGGTGTCAGTGGGAGCACTGGGGCCCCGTCGTTGGGGTCAGTGGGGGGAATAGTTTCCCAGGGGCTGTATAAAGGCAAGCAAAGGACTGCATGTGGCCCCCGGGCCGCAGTATGGGGCCCACTGGTGTAGACTGATCCTGATTGTGTACATCCGTACAATCACTGCACATAGACAGAACTCATTTCCAGTTCATCCAATCATCGTCTCCTACAACCTCATCTCATCGGTATGACTGGCCGGGTCCTGCAAAGCCCGATATCTATACATTGTAACTCCTATCATTGTCTCCTGATTTCTATACATTGTAACTGATAGTACATCGTCCAATCTGATTGTATTGTGTGTTGAGCGGAGGTATGGTGGTGGGCGGGGTCACATAGGGGGATGTAGCGTTGGTGTCACCGCTCAGTGCGGGTCGCACATTATGGAAGATCTGATCCTGAGTGCTGCACATTCTGCATGTATGGGGGCGGGGGAGGCCTTTAGGTAAGACCCCGCCACAGCCTATGTATGCCCCATCATTGCTCAGTGAAATAAAGCATGGAGACGTGGATGGATGGAGACGTGGATGGATGGAGACGTGGAGGGATGGAGACATGGAGGGATGGAGACATGGAGGGATGGAGACATGGAGGGATGGAGACATGGAGGGATGGAGACATGGAGGGATGGAGACATGGAGGGATGGAGACATGGAGGGATGGAGACACGGATGGGGGAATGGATGGATGGGGGGATGGATGGATGGGGGAATGGATGGAGGGATGGAGACATGGAGGGATGGAGACATGGATGGATGGAGACATGGATGGAGGGATGGAGACATGGATGGGGAATGGATGGGGGAGGGATGGAGACATGGATGGGGAAATGGATGGAGGGATGGAGACATGGATGGGGGAATGGATGGAGGGATGGAGACATGGATGGGGGAATGGATGGAGGGATGGAGACATGGATGGGGGGATGGATGGAGGGATGGAGACATGGATGGGGGGATGGATGGGGGAGGGATGGAGACATGGATGGGGGGATGGATGGGGGAGGGATGGAGACATGGAGGGATGGAGACATGGAGGGATGGAGACATGGAGGGATGGAGACATGGAGGGATGGAGACATGGAGGGATGGAGACACGGATGGGGGAATGGATGGATGGGGGAATGGATGGAGGGATGGAGACATGGATGGATGGAGACATGGATGGAGGGATGGAGACATGGATGGGGGAATGGATGGGGGAGGGATGGAGACATGGATGGAGGGATGGAGACATGGATGGGGGAATGGATGGAGGGATGGAGACATGGATGGGGGAATGGATGGAGGGATGGAGACATGGATGGGGGAATGGATGGAGGGATGGAGACATGGATGGAGGGATGGATGGAGGGATGGAGACATGGATGGGGGGATGGATGGGGGAGTTTGCTTGAATAATAAAAATGAATGAATTCGCATTGATCAGTTTGTGACGTTCGGCTGTAAAAAAAATAATAAAATTGCCTCTAGATCCACTTCAAAGTCCCGTTGACAAGCCTCCTCCTGAAGAACAATCCAGACCCGGATCACTTTTCAGAATTGTCTATCAGGCTGGTGAGGAGGTGACACCTGATCCTGCTGTACCATCACACTGCATGGGGTTGCGGAGCGGCTCCATAGAACTGCATTAGTTGCGTCCGGCAGCGGCTGAAAGCAATGCACTTGTTGTGTTTTGGCGGCGATGAGTCCTGAATGGCAGAATGATTAGTGTTGAGGCAGGCAGCTTGGGGGGTGGTATGATCACGGCTGAGCCGCCTGGTTTTACTGTCCCCTGGCCGAGCCCTGAGAGCCGTGTTCGGTGGAATAATGCAGATAAGGCAACTGAGCAAAATGGATGAAGTAACGTTGCGGCACAACGCACATACTACACACGTGACGCTGCACCGGGGGTTGTGTTCACCATGAACCGCACCGCACACGCAGCAGGCGGGGATCACGGCTACACAGGTTGCGGCTGATCCGTGTTTCCTGCAGCGTTTTGCGATTTTTTTTTAACACTTTACACTCTCTGGCAGTCAAGTCGCATTAAAGTCATGCAGGAGCCGTCATGTGACCAAAGTCACATGTTAGGGTTTGGGGTTATTGTTAGCATTGCGACGCTAACCTAACATGTGACTTTGGTCACATGACCACTGACACCACAATGGGGCACTATTCCTCCCACTGACACCACAATGGGGCACTATTCCTCCCACTGACACCAATGATGGGGCACTATTCCTCCCACTGACACCAATGATGGGGCACTATTCCTCCCACTGACACCAATGATGGGGCACTATCCCTCCCACTGACACCAATGATGGGGCACTATTCCTCCCACTGACACCAATGATGGGGCACTATTCCTCCCACTGACACCAATGAAGGGGCACTATTCCTCCCACTGACACCAATGATGGGGCACTATTCCTCCCACTGACACCAATGATGGGGCACTATTCCTCCCACTGACACCAATGATGGGGCACTATTCCTCCCACTGACACCAATGATGGGACACTATTCCTTCCACTGACACCAATGATGGGGCACTATTCCTCCCACTGACACCAATGATGGGACACTATTCCTCCCACTGACACCAATGACGGGGCACCATTCCTCCCACTGATACCAATGATGGGGCACTATTCCTCCCACTGATACCAATGATGGGGCACCATTCCTCCCACTGACACCAATGACGGGACACTATTCCTCCCACTGACACCAATGACGGGGCACCATTCCTCCCACTGACACCAATGATGGGGCACCATTCCTCCCACTGACACCAATGATGGGGCACTATTCCTCCCACTGATACCAATGATGGGGCACCATTCCACCCGCTGACACCAGTGATGGGGCACTATTCCTCCCACTGACACCAGTGATGGGGCACTAGTCCCCCCACTGACACCAATGATGGGGCACTAGTCCCCCCACTGACACCAATGATGGGGCACTAGTCCCCCCACTGACACCAATGATGGGGCACTAGTCCCCCCACTGACACCAATGATGGGGCACTAGTCCCCCCACTGACACCAATGATGGGGCACTAGTCCCTCCCACTGACACCAATGATGGGGCACTAGTCCCCCCACTGACACCAATGATGCAATGATGGGGCGCTATTCTTCCCACTGACACCAATGATGGGGCACTATTCCTCCCACTGACACCAATGCTGGGGCGCTATTCCTCCCACTGATACCAATGACTGGGCACTATTCATCCCACCGACACCACCGATGGGGCGCCATTTCCCCCCCCTACTGGCACCATACAAAGGCAAAACTTTTATTTTAGTTTTTGAAATAGTGGGGAGGGATGAGAACCCCTGTCAGGTTTTTATTGCTGTTTGTGCTCCCCCTCCCCATTTGTCTTGTTTATCGTGATCACCGAGAGTGAAAGTAAATCCCAAATTTCGGGTTGTCCCCAGAACAGGAATAGGGGGGAAATCTTCCATTGGGGACACTAGTGACCTGGTGGGGGTTCCCAAGGAATTTCCTAATTTCCAGGGATTTCCTCTCACTTCCTGTTTTTGGTTATGGGATAGGAAGTGGCGGCAAATCTCCCCCAATGGAGACACAGATGGCAAACAAAATACTGGAGACACAGATGGCAAACAAAACCCAACAAAAAAACTTTTTGTTGGGTTTTGTTTTGTGTTTTTGTTTTTTTTTGTTGGGTTTTTGTTTTAAAAAAAAACAAAAAAACATTTTATTTTATTTTTTTTGGGGGGGGGGGGGGGTTACGTTATGGTGGTTGCGGTGGCTCTGGCGCTGTTCATAGCCCGTGGTCTCGTGGTAGTGCGTTGTGGTGCCATTTTATAATGAACAATGTGCTAGAGTACCGCTGCACTGCGTGGCGAAGGCGTGTCCTCAGGCTGTGAGCTCCTCCCCCCCTCCTGCGTCCCCGCATTGTATTCGCCATCCTTTGCCCTGTCTGTAGTTCTCCTCTATTATGGGATGTACAGAGCGGTGAGCCAATGTTGTAGAGGATAATATTCATACCCCGGCCAGGAAAGGGTTAACCCTGCACACTTGTGCGCAGCAATGGCGGCCGCGCCGCGCTCAGTAGTCTGCCTGCTGTGTGGTGCGGTGAGGCTGCTGTTTACTTTGGCGCGGTGTCGGTGACACACCTGTTGTTTAAACTGCAGCAGCGAGCGATTCGGCGTAAAGATGTCTGTTTTATTGTTTGCAGAAGCCGAAGCGCAGATAGAAAGTAACGCAGGGCCGCGCACAGACAAGACGCGCTGTAATTCCACAGATCAACATCCGCCGAGGGGGTGCCGCACAACGCCCGATATCGCCAAATTCCACGCCGGCCCGTGCCTTGGCCTAGGTTCACGCCTCTGCAGTTTGATCCGTTTCCGGGTGAGAACGCGGCGATGTGAACCCGTCCCCATAGGAAGTCGTGTTACATGGACTGCTGGGCGTTTCTGCAAAACGCAACGGAAAACGCATGGGTGCGAACCTGCAGTCGGGAGGGTGGTAAAAATAGGCGACTGAGTTATACCCTCCCCCGTCTCCCCAATAGGCTAGGTTCACACCTGTGCAGGTTGTGTTTCAGCTGTTTCTGCATTGCGTTTTGTGTTGCGGA